TGTTAGTAATCTGAATAATAAAAATTTGAAATTCAAATCATATAGTCATAAAAAGACTAAACTTAAATTTAAAAGTGTTTTCCAATATTCTGTGACAACGCACCAAAGTGCATTACATATTTATGTCAAATGTATATACATAAAATTTATTTTTAATCCTTATATGTATATTTAATATTTATTTATGTGCTACATTCTAATGTATTTTATTCCATCATATTCTCTTTTATGAACTGCTACTTAGAACACAGTAAATTTCTATTATTATCTAATAGGCTCTTCCATTTTTAAAATACAGCAAAAAATTTTTTTTAATTATTTAATGAAAATTATTGATATAACTGAGTCTAATTTTAAAAAGCAATAATAGTAAACTAGGTTAAACTTCCATAATAGATATATAAGGTGACACTGTTTTAACTTTAATTTTCACTGCAATAATTAGAAAAACAGAGGAATAGAAAAATACTCATCCAGGTGTTATAAAGATATTACATAAAATTAGAAAATAAAATCTATGGAAACTTGGCCCCATTAAACAAAATAAATAAACCAGACAACTGAAATACAAAATAACTAAAGTAAACAATCAGAATTACCAGCAAAGCAACTTATGATGATATTGAGTGTAAATAAATTTGTCAAAAAGACAAAAGAATCAGTAACTTTGAAACACACACACAATACAGTTCTATGCTGATTAGAAATGATTTACCTAAAATAAAATATCTCAGGAAGTTTTATGTATTATAAGAAATAAATTGGCAAATATGTGCAAAAATATTGAAACTAATCAAACATGTAGCAGTCTTATGCTATGGTACAACTTAGTATTTATAAAGCTCTCTTTTCCCTGCCTTGTCCATCAGGAAAGGTCAACTCTCCTTTAATCCAACTTTACTAAAATAATCATATTGGAAATGGAGGTTCCTTCTCGTGTGCTTACTTACTCCAAAGACTGATTAAAGAAATTATTATTAGATTAACTGAGAGACATCTATTACTCTAAGGAAAAAAGTTAGGGTGCTTCCACTTTGGGACATGATGAATTTTTTCCATTAAATGGTGCCAAATAATAAAAATATGAAGGATAACAAATTACATGAGGGAAATGGTTTCTGGAAGTCAACAGGAAATATATAACTATAATATCTGAAGGAAAGAAAACATGATGTTGAGTTACGGAAATCCAATTCTACCTATGGACAATTTTCTGATCTCAGCGCAGAGAATTTAAGTCCTAGGCAAAGTGCAGCATTCCCACTGGGTTAAGGAAGCAGAGGACAGAGTTCACAGCAGAGAAATGGCTGGAATATGAAGGGTGCAGCATCGGACAGAAAGCTGCTCTGCAGTTTAAGGATTTCAGTGTGTGCGGGGATCCTCCCAGGTGCCCTTACAGAAAGATAAGGTAAATATAAGTGCACATAGTATGAGACAGCCTGAAGCGAATGAGACAGCAGCTCTTACTGGGGTGAGAGTAGAAAAGAGATGCTAGAAGAGTCTGAACAGAGCTGGAGAAAAGAACACCAAGAAGATCCCAAATTCTTCACATCCTGGTTGCCTGAAAGATCAGGGTAGGAAGCAATAAATTGGGAGTTTGGGATTTGCAGATACACACTACTATATATAAAACAGATAGACAACCAGGTCCTAGTGTAGAGCACAGGGAACTATATTCAGTATCTTGCAGTAACCTATAATGAAAAAGAAAATGAAAACAAATATATATATGGATATGACTGAAACATTATGCTGTACACCAGAAATTGACATAACACTGTAAACTGACAATACTTCAATAAAAAAGAATATGAAAAGGAATATATATATCTACATGGATAACTGAATATACAGACTGTAATAAAACTATCACCTATTCTATCAATTAAGCACATCTATCTAGAAAATTCTGTTGTATACATAGAAAAGTTCTGGGAACCATGGTTAAAATTAAGAGATGGCCTAATAAAATGTTCATTTATGGATCTGAATTAAAAGCATATGCAAAATTTTGATTAACACTATGATCTAGAGCTGCACTGTCTAATATAGTAGCTACTAACCACAAGTGACTAGTTAAATTTACATTAAGTGAAATCAAATGGAAACTTCATTTCCTTAGCTGCACTGGCCACACGTCAGGTGCTCAACAGTCATGTAAACCGTGGAGGTGTATGGTATCTCTCCTAAGTGCAGACAGCTCTGTTGGAGCAAAGTGACTTAGATACTAACCATCTGCAGACCAAAACCCATCATCTATACTTCCTCCTGGTGATGAGGGTCTTTCGCTACAATTTGGAGGAGCATATCCAGCATCACAGTGACAATTATTTAAAGTATTGCAAACCTAGAACCAGAATCAAATTTAAAAAGAGAATTTTACGTACAGCGTAAAAATTAGACACATTGTTATTTTTAGTCAAAGTAAACTCTTTCCCTAAGTACTGTACGTTTTATATATATATACACACACACATATAGTGGGGTAGTTTTTATATTAATGTGGAAAGCAATTTAAAAATAAAAAGTAATGTAATGTTCATGCAGTATCTTTTCAAATGTTATAGAGATTTTCTCATCTCTTGTAATATTTTAAAAAGTATATCATATTCTGATACAACTGAAATGCCTTATTCTACAAAGGCATGAGAATGACAAACCTAGAAATTATAAAACAGTAGGAGTTCAAATACACTATGAATTGTGCTAGTTTTAAAAAATTAGCCATCACAAGAGCCAATTTTTGCAAAAAAAGGGGGGGGGGGACTAAAGGAAGAAGTTTGCTTCATCAGACACAGATAGCAAAATTTATTTTAATAGAGAGAAGATGGCTAAAAATATCTATAAATGTAATCTGGTGGGTGAATCAAAAGAAGGGCCAGAAACAGAACAGAGAATCCAGATGTAGCTTTGTGAAAAATTTAGTAAGAAATTAAATTAAAATTAAATAAAGAAGAAATTGAAAAGAATCTGTAAGTAACTGGACATATAAGTGATCCGAGAGAAAAATATGATAAAAGACAAACAGGTCACCTTTATCCTGGATTACTATACAAAACGTGAAGCATCGAGATGGCAGGAGACAAGAGCTACACAGTTAAAGCCAAATGCATGCCTGGAAAAACTTACAAAGCTTACAACATTCCTATAACCCAGTAGATTATTCCATGGTGGATGGACAAATAGATATGCAAATGGAAAATGTGACCATACATATTTAAGAACTATATAATTATTAAATAAATGAAAATTAACAATGGATTTAGCATGTTTGAAGAGGTTAAAAAGACAGAGAAACTAGTCTGGCCAGAATGTAAGGAAATACACCTTTTTATACATGATAGGTGAAAACCATATAATATTAGTGAAAATTTAAATTGCTCATCAGATTTCACTGCTAACAATTTAAGGAATCAGATAAATGTGCAAAGGTGAATGTACAACAGTGTCCACTTTACCTACTATTTACAGTAGTTAAGTAAAAATTCAGCCTTCTCTGAAAGTCCCTCAATGAATAAATTTCCAAATATAGTATGGAAGAGACATACAGAGAAACACAATGAAGCTGTTGAAGGATGAAGCAGATCTGAATGAACAGGAAACTCTGCTCCCATGAAAATATTAGATTATAAGCAATATGCATAATATAAATATATTGTGCTTAAATATCAGTACACATAGTAATTATGAGCAATATTTATATGTATGTATAAATATGTGTAATACTTCAATTCATTTCCAAAATCTCATAATCTTAATCTAACATTATAATAATAGTTTCATATTGCATTTTAGTACAAATTTCAAAGCTTATTTGCTCACAAGGCCTATAAACCCTGATTGAACACATAAATCACACACATATGTGTGAATAATGGTATCTGCTTTCCTTAATTTCAATTTTCCAAAGAAATTTGTACACTTCAAATAATTCTAAACATTATTATACTGAAAAATGTTACGACATGGATCAAAATGACTATACTTAAAAATAGAGTAACCATTATACATACCCCATGTCCTTTGCATTTCTCTTGGGAAATACATAGTGCACGTTTGTTTTCAATGGTTCTGCAACTTCCCCTTTCACAAAACTAACAAGTTAAAACAACCAACAACAAAAATTTTAAATGTAAAGTCAAGAGTTGAACAACCGCACTTGGTAAGAAAGTTAAATGTACAAGATACATACGTCTCAGATGAACCTATATTTCACATCTACCTTATCACAAATATCAAATTTTGAGAATCACATACAATTTTTATCTTTGAGAGATCAGAACTGTGCATTTATTGATATTAGTTGGCATAAGTATAAAAATAGCCAACTGGTACTGTAATGAGTTAGGGTTTATTTTCTCAGTTTTATACATTTTCATAATATATACTCATATTAACCCTGTGAAGGAGATATTTTTATCCTTCTTTTACAGTTGATGAAAATTAAGGTCGTGCCATCAGTTATTAACAGAGCAAATATTCAGTGTAAGCGCTTTACTCACAGAGCCCACCTAGTGATCAAAAGCTCAATACCAGTCTTCTGACACTTTTACATTTTTTTCCAACTTTAGTGACATTACTTCTTATCTTCTGTATTAGCAAAAGTGTGACCTTGAGAAATTTATTTAATCCCTCCATACCTCAGTCTATCCATCTCTGAATCGGGAATAATAACTATACCCACCTCATAGGTTATCAGGATGAATAATTTGTTACATGTGAAGGAACGAAATCAGTCTTTGGTACATAGTAAACGCTCACTAAATAAAGGATATTATTCTAATTATTTATTTAACCTGATTTCTATGTAGACTCTAAATATTTGTCTATCCACATTTCAGTTTAGTCTGAGTATCTTTGGGGGAATCTACTAAGACTATCTGATGGATTTTCTCAAGTATCTGAGAGAATACCCACCATCTGATGAATAATCTAAAAATATCATTATTTTCTACACCACTGCTAATTAAGAATAAATATCAGCTTGTTAATTAACTGAAGGTGCTCTGATGAAGCCAGCGAGAATAACAAAATGTTAGACAAACCAGCATTATCTGTCCACAAACCTGTTTTCATTCTACTGCTCTTTAGACAGTGTCACCGAAGCAATAATGAACTAGTCATACCTCCCTGGGTTATTTTCAGGGGAAAACCAAGCCAGAAAAAGTTAAGAGCCATGCTTCTGATACAATTTCCTTCAAGTAAACAGATCAATGTGCAGCTCGATCTTTTGTAATGACAAAAAAAAGAGAGGGACACTATGACAGCACTTAGCCTTAGTCAGCACTTAGCCTTGGTCTTAAATATTAACATGTAAGACTTCCTTCTTTGAACAAGAGACACAAATAGGGTCTCAGAAACAGTTAATCAAGGCTCAAAAAAAAAAATCCTAATATAACTAAAAGCATATTTCCTGAGGGCAAAGTCTAGATTATGTGGTTTATTTTCTTATATTCCTATGTATAAGAATGGGTGAGAAAAAGGGAGTAATTTCATTTATCCATTCATTGATTAGCCTATCTACTTGTGGGCAGTTACATGCCCCAAACATCCACCTTTTCCAGTTTGAAATGAACATGATGAGATGTTCTTCTCTCCCCTCGCCTACCTATGTGCACTAGAATCAGTTTGATAAACTATTCTATTCTCTATTTTATAAATAAAAATTCAAAGAAGCTTTCCATCACAACCAGTATTAAGGGCTTGCATTGCTGGAATAATGCCTATCTCCATGTAATACACCCTTCACACAGTATATTACAGTGTTAAATATACGTTTTATTTACAATTTTTACTATAATTAAAAAGGAAGACATATTTCTTCATGTCAATAAATAAGAAACAGTCTCAAACCCAAAAGTCAGCAGAAGGAAGGAAATAATAAAGATCAGGGAGAAAATAAATAAAATAGAGATTAAAAAAAAATGGAAAAAAACAATCAAACCAAAAGCTGGTTTTTTTAAAGAGTAAATAAAATCGACAAACCTCTGGCCAAACTCACAAAGGAGAAAAAAGGGAGAGCACAAATCAGCAAAATAAGAAAGGAAAATGGAGAAATCACAACAAATAACAAGGAAATACAGAATAGCATATGAGAATATTATGAAAAACTGTATGGAACCAAAATGGATAACCTAGAG